TAGTCCAATCCCCCTGCCAGAGCAGGAACACCTAGATAATGTTACACAGGAATGCGTCCAGGCGGGCTTTGAATGTCTCCAGGGAAGGAGACTCCACAACCTCCCTGGGCAGCCTGTTCCAGTGTTCCGTCACCCGGAATGCTCCAAGCATTTATTATAGGTTCTGGCAACTGACTGGGTGTGTTGGGATGGAATGATGCTCCCCTCCCCCAGCACACCTAGTTTATAGCCTCCTTGACCAGTCTGGCAAGCCTCCTACCAAAACTGCTCTTTCCCTTCTTTATCATGAGAGCAGCTCCACCAGCCACCACTAGACCTGGCCTACAAGCTTGGGTCCCATGTTCAAGACACCCAAACCCCTGACTATGACACCACCCTTTTAACCAGTTATTAACCTGGCTAATCCTCCTAGCTTTTTTTAGGTCCTCCCCTGTACCCTGGAGAATTGATGATAAGACCACCTGAGCTCCAGAGCCCCTAACTGCCTCCCCCAGGGCTCTGTAATCCTTCTTTATGTTCCCCAGGCTACTACTATCTATACCCCTAGCACCCACATGTATCACCAGGAGTGGGTAATAATCCGTGGGACTTAGTAGAGCAGGCAGCCTCCCTGCCACATCCCTGATCCATGCCCCTGGTAGGCAACACACCTCCCTTGAGACAGGGTCTGGCCAGCAGACAAGTGCTTCTGTCCCTTTCAGTGTAGAGTCCCCTACTACTACTTCCTGCCGCTTTTTCCTGGCAGCACCAGTAGAGATCTTCTTTAGCAGCGCATCAGCCGGCTGTTTCTGGCTCGAGTGTGCTTCCTCATTAGCCCCTTGCAGGACAGCAAAGCGGTTCTGCGTGGGGACAGGGGATTTAGGGGGAAGCCCCTCGCTTTTGGTTGTCCTTTTCCTTCGTTGTTTTTGTTTTTTTTTGTCACTAATTCTCAGCTTCCCGGGTTAACGGCCTCCTTCTTTCCTCCATGAGCTAAAGGTGAAGCTCGAGGCCCCTGCACAGTTTGGGCCGGGATCAAGCATTCCTGCTTCCTCTCAGCTTCCCTGACATCTCGCAGTCTATTAACAGCATCCCGCAGCTCAGCCCCTGCTGCAGCAGGACCTCCACCAGGGAGCACCGAGTGCAGCCCTGCCCGTTGTGCACCCTCCCCTCACCAGACCAGTGCAGGCACTCTCTCCACTCCCAGCTCTGCACTGCAGCCTCCCCTCTCACCGGCTCTCTCTGGGTGCCTACGCTGCCATCGCCGGGGCAGCCAGAGCAGAGCTCCCGGGCCGGGCCCTGCTCACACGCCGAGCGCTCACCGTCCCGCCCGCCTGCCCGCGCGAACCGCCCCGACCCGCTCTGTCCGCCGCGCTCCCCGGGCAGGTTTTTACCCCCTCAGGGCTGGTGCCGCTGCTCCTGGCTCCGCCCCCTGTGAGTCCCCGCTCGCCTCAGCTGAGCTGCCGGCTCCTGGGCAGGTCCTGTCGAGGACTCGAGGCTCCCCCGGTGGCTCTTGGCGCTCGGAGTTGAGGCTCCTGGGCGCTGATCTCCCCCCCCGCTCCGGTGTTGAAGGCGGCCTCTCTCGAGCTGCTCACCTCAGCAACTGACCATCTTAAGAACCTGAACATGCACAAGTCCATGGGACCTGATGAAATCCATCCATGGGTCCTGAAGGAGCTGGTGAATGAAGTTGCTAAGCCACTGGCCATCATATTTGAGAAATCATGGCAGTCAGGTGAAGTTTCCGATGACTGGAAAAAGGGAAATATAACCCCCATTTTCAAGAAGGGGAAAATGGATGACCCAGGGAATTACAGACCAGTCGGTCTCACCTCTGTGCCTGGCAAAATCTTGGGGCAGATTCTCCTGGAAGGCATGCTAAGGCACATGAGAAACAACAAGGTGCTTGGTGACAGCCAGCATGGCTTCACTAAGGGAAATCCTGCCTGACCAATTTGGTGGCCTTCTGTGATGGGGCTACAGAACTGATGGACAGGGGTAGAACAGTTGATGTCATCTACCTGGACTTGTGCAAAGTGTTGAATGATCCTTTACTTGTGCCGTCAGGGGCTGGTACTATATATATATATATTTTATTGGTATAAATATCACCTTTACAGTTTTCCATTCCTAGAAACACAGTCTTGACTTGCAGTACTGTGAGGTGAGGGTACTGAGAGAACTGGGAGAACAGGGAACCTGTTTCTGTCAAGAGAATAAAAGGGACTGATGTATTTAAGTTAACAAAAGCAGAGAGGGATATGATCGTGAGGGATACAGTGAGATTTTTTGGCAAGAGAAGTAAATGCCATAGAAGGTGAAGATTCAGTTCAGCCAACTGGCAGTGATGACTCAAGGACAAACACATGTAGCCTTTTCACAGGAAAACTGAAGCTAGAAGTTAAAATTTCCGAGCATCAGGAAACTATGACTCTCGAATAAGAAATGCAAGAGTGAAAAGAACTTCCTACCTGTTTCTTGGTTAGTGTCTGAATGGGGTAATGTAACATGACTGGCATATTGTTTCCTACTCAGCATTCCTAATACCTGTGATTTTATTTCTTAAATCTTGGCAGCTAATCTGTATTCAAGAAAAGCATTTATTTTTCAAATACAGATAGCTGAAATGTGTTTAAGCTATTTTGTTATCTTTACAGTACAAAAGAAACGTTAGTAATTTCTTCTGAGCTGTAACCTTTTTAAAATCATATACAATGGTGGGGGTGGTTATATTTGTTCCTAAATTACACTTTGATGGGCCTAGTTCTGAATCACTTTCTCAGTCACAGCTCCCTGTAAGCTGTGAGAATCTAGTCAGCAAAAGAGCAAAGCAATCAAAGTGAGATCAAAAGACAGAAGGCGCAGGGTCTGAGTTACAGTTAGGCAAGGCATACAGGAAGACAAGTGATAAAAGAGAAAATACACACCATTAGCCTGCTGGAGACCCAGGGTGCCAGGAAACGGTAAGGTTTTTAATGCCTCCAGCCACTATCCAGAAAGATCAATGCAAAAAGTTTTATTTATGTCTTTGGGATCTGAAGTTTCCAATGGAGTTGATCTTGCTTAACTTGTCCTGGTCTAAGTTAGTAGGCTAGGCCTTCTAGCCTTAAAGGAGGTCAATAAATGGGCAAGATTGCGGAGGAGATGAGAACATAGCCTGTCCTTATTTTATTATAGGCTGCAAAGTTTAGGCATTAGTAGAAGCTTACGGTTGAACTTCCAATGCAATTAGAAGACAATATGGCAGTATTTATAAAAGTAATAAAAGAAAACCTGAAGCATCTAATGCAAGACTGACCCATGGCACTTATGGTCAGATTCAGGTCAAGGGCTAAGTAAGGCATGTAAAAAACCTGGTATTTATGTAGATAATATCCCCACATTTAGACAGAAATTTCTCTAGTATTATAAAGCCTGCATGTCATTGCATAAAGCCACTACTGTGTACTGAAAATAAGGGAATATTTACTCCTGCATTCAGGTTGTCTCTGAATTGTCTGCCCCATTATTCTTCACTACAGGCCTTCCAGCATTTTCTTTTGACATCTGTTACTGGTCAGTCTTTTATTCTGTGATACTATGATAACACATTTTAATATAGAACATACGTTGTCTTATAGAAACAGCATTAACATGAAGGCAGTCAGACATAGTGCACAATAATAAAGGATGCAGTAAAACAAATTGGCATGGCCAAGCTGGTCTTTGTAGGTCTGCAAACTCATCTGTTACACTGTGGAACATTTTTCAAGCTTGTCTTCTTGAGATGATGCAAAAAATAAAGGAATTCTTGACTCAGGTGATACCGTTGGTGTTTTTGAGTCAGTTTGAATTTGCTGGAAGAGCTTTCATGCTCATGGTAATAGTTATTTAAAAAAAAAAAAGCTGCAAGTAGTAATTTCAAATCTAAATCATAGAATCATAGAATCGTTAGGGTTGGAAAGGACCTTAAGATCATCTAGTTCCAACCCCCCTGCCACGGGCAGGGACACCTTACGCTAAATCATATCACCCAAGGCCTCGTCCAACCTGGTCCTGAACACTGCCAGGGATGGAGCATTCACAACCTCCCTGGGCAAACCATTCCAGTGCCTCACCACCCTAACAGGAAAGAATTTCCGTCTTATATCCAACCTAAACTTCCCCTGTTTAAGTTTTAACCCGTTACCCCTTGTCCTATCACTACAGTCCCTAATGAAGAGTCCCTCTCCAGCATCCCTATACCCCCCCCTCAGATACTGGAAGGCTGCTATGAGGTCTCCACACAGCCTTCTCTTCTCCAGGCTGAACAGCTCCAACTTCCTCAGCCTGTCTTCATACGGGAGGTGCTCCAGTCCTCTGATGATCCTCGTGGCCCTTCTCTGGACTTGTTCCAACAGTTCCATGTCCTTTTTATGCTGAGGACACCAGAACTGCACACAATACTCCCGGTGAGGTCTCACAAGAGCAGAGTAGAGGGGCAGGATCACCTCCTTCGATCTGCTGGTCACGCTGCTTTTGATGCAGCCCAGGATATGGTTGGCTTTCTGGGCTGCAAGCACATACTACCGGCCCATGTTCATTATGCAGTCCCAAATTTCATCTTAGGTAGAAAAGAGAATTTTCACGTTTTATTGTTGTTCTTCCCTTTACCTAATGTGCCTTTCTTGTTGCCGTCAGAAATATCTGTGTCCCTGATGTTCAGATAAAACAGGGTTAATAAGATCTAAATACATACAGATACATACGTATATATGTATATATATATCATATATCATTTTTTCGGATTTTTTGTAAAAGCTGGGTTCAGTGGAAGCGCTTATGTATGATACAAGTGTGATTATGTTTAATAAGCAGGAAGCCACATGAACCACAGGACTATTTAAATCTAATTTCCTATCAATTTCTGTCTCTATTGCTACATATTCCCTCTACCCTCACCTAGGAGAACACTGGTCTCCCTCATGGCCTCTAACACTGCTTTTTCTTAAAATATTCCCCCCTCATTTCCTGTAAGCCTTTTTTTGCCCCCATTTTGTCCTTAGTTTCATCCCATGGACATGAGAAGAGGACATGTGTACTGTGGTGGATCCTGGGCTGCCAGGGTGCTAATGCCCTTGATGTACAGCTGCTGAAGGGCTGCCTGGCAGGCCAGGCACAACAGGTAACTTGAGCTCACTTCTCCACTGGGGATGCAATATTTAATTCTTCCTTCTTTTTGTATTCGCTTCTTTTCTGTAAGCTTTTAGGAACTTCAGACTACAGAGACTTCAGTCCCCTTGTCATTATTTATTAGTTTGTTTATTTATTTATTGATTTTAAACTGTCCATCTGGTTCAAAAATTATTAGGGAAGGATCGACAGAGACCATAATTGAATAAACCTAATTTCCCTTCAAATTCAGGCTAACAGCTTGCTCTGCTGTAGGCAGCATTTCACATAGAAGACAAACACAGATCAGTAGAACTGTATCTGTATTATGCCAGGCTCCAATTTTCTGCTTCAAGCCATAGGAAGACTAAAGCTGCTAAACCCATCTAAATTGTTTAATGTGGAATAAATAAACTATTTTTCCTAACTCGTGGCTCCCTCTGTTCCAAGATAGAGATGAATTGCTTTTAGCTGATATTTGGAAACAAAACTAGTACGTGACAACCTACCAACTTACCTACCTTTGTTCTAGTTTCACTATAACAAATCCTGCTCATCTCTAACTCCCATATACAGCAATCTCAACACCAAGAGCTGTTTTTTCGGCTAGTTACTATGTCTATTAGTGTGAACACTTAACAGGCTAACTGGGGCACAAGAATCCCAGATTTTTTCTTGCCTTTAACTGCATAGTGTTTTGAGGATGAAAGCTGTATATGTATACACACCCCCTCACATCCTATTCTGAGGTCTTTATGTATCCTCAGAATCAGGTTTTGCATAAACATTATACAATCTTTCAGCACAGCAGAGAGGTTCACCTAGTCAGCACATCATTTTTTATAAAAATGAAGTTTTTCTTGTAGGAACAAGCCAGCACTATTTGCCTGCAATGTGATAATATTCCTTTTGGGATAAAATTGATGTCACTGAAACCCAGCTGAGTTCTGATTCAAAATCTAAATATTCCCAGAGATGTCATAACTAATATGTAGAAATCCCTTAGCTCTGCACTTTCCAGTAAACTTCCTCTGTACAATATCCTCAACTCCCAGCAGTTAAACACCACATGCTGATATAAATTTGGTTTTACTGTTCCTCCAGGGTAAGGTAAGCTTACCTTTATATTGTTATCTTAGCACATAAGAAAATTAGAATGTAGGAAAGCACTTGACAGTCACTGGTGGTGGGAAAATGTCCACTGTGACTCAGGGAGAACCCCAAAGTCAATTTATATGAAATGTGAACATTGTAAGAATATTGTTTAGAAGCATAGAAACCTCTGCTCCATGTGTAGGGAGAAAAGTAGCTTTTAGTCCATTTATATTAATTACACTACTTCATAAATTCTCTTTATATATTATTTGCTTATGTTTCCCTCAGATGTCAATAGAATCCTATTTTTACCTTAGTGGTGAAAGGGAATGGATGAACAGAGGGTGCCTTACAGTGAGCACTTCCTGTATAGCTGTATGGGCAGTTTGGGAAGGAGATACAGGCAAAGAAGAATGAGAAAGAAGGAGAAGGAGGATGGGAGAATATCTGATTTTACAAAATGAGGTTTGTAGAGATAAGCTGAAGGACTGGACTATCTGGACTTGGGTCTCTGCCCAGTGGAGGCCAGCCTAGTTTAGCGGCAGTGTTGACTTTACTGTGCCATGATCCAACACGACTGAGATACAGCAGCTAAACTACCAATAGCAGAAATAACCAAGGAGCTGCACGTCAGGGTAGCACATGGACTAGTGGAGATTGGTGAAATAAAGGTATTTCTGCATTCAGCTGGGTCTGTTACCCTTGAGAGTGGTGTTACAGGTGAGCAGAGTTTGTGGGGTGGACAAGAATGCTAAACCATGAGAGCTGCAGTTACAGGGTTAGCCAGACTCCTGGTGTGCTAGTTTGGACACTTTCTTTTCATACTTGACTGTTATGCTTTCCAGGACAAGTTTTGGTCCAGAAACACTTTAGCAGCTTTTGTCTGACACATGATCTCTGCATATCTCCATGTACCACACTACTGCAAGCAGAAATACTGGGGAATATGGTGCACAAGCATCTGAATAGCAAAACCACAAAGACAAAATGACTATACACTGAAATTAATAGACACAGTAAGAGACCACGTGGCTCCAATACTTCATGCTGGCTGATGTTTTTAAGCTGTCACTTAAAAATAAGCAGAAGTATAGTCATTAAGGACAAATTTTCTCCTTGGGCAGATGACTTAGCAGAATCTGTGCTAACAGCTGAAATCCCATTGTACTACAATTTTAAAAGAGTTTATCACATCCTTAAAGTCAACATCTGGTATGCTGTGCTATAAAAAAGCACTCTAAGAGCTACTATTTCAGACAGCTATGGATTTGTCTTATTATTGGGTATTGTTTATCTTACAGCAAAGTATGATGCGGCAGCTAGTGCTGCACTGTACATGTGGAAATCCACAGTTTAGTGGGGTTTTAGCTGGGATTCATCCCACATAATGTTAACTGCTTGTTCAGGTTGCCTGAAATGGAAAAGGCTTGTGCTTGGCTCCTGTTGTAGTCTCTTAGTAGATCTTGGGTGACCCAAATAGACTTTGAGAGCTCCTTTTTCATGTTCTTCTGGGCATCCCTGTGGTGTGGCTCACTCTCAGGATGTGCCTGTTATTCTCCAGTCTCTATAGAAGGTCCCACAGGCAAATGACTCCTCCCATAGGTGCCTTGGAAGTGTACCTAAAGAAAGGTGGAATGAATGCGAGCCTGACAGAGTCTTCAGTACAATAGTACATTTGTGGTGAGCTTTATTCCATTAACCTTCAGCCACGTAAAGGCTGAGATTTCCTAAGCAAGCTGTTTTCACGTTTAGTGGTCTGACACAGGTACATCCAGAAGGCAGTTCTTCTTATTGGTGCCAAACACACATCTGGAGATGTATATCTTTGCCTGGTGAAGATACTTGTCTCCCTCCACTGGATGGAGAGGTTCTCTGAACAATTGGTTTGAACTAGATGACCAACTTCTAGATAACAAATGTGAAGATAAATGCACCATAGATGACCATATTTGGAATGTATAGGAGTCGTTACCAGTGATAGCACTGTTTGCAAACTTACATTTTAGGAAGACCTGCATGACAGGCAGTCAAAAATGTTGTAGCTGAGGACGACAGTCCAGTGTAGAAAGGGACTTTTCTTATAGCAGGTTTATTTTCTTCAGCTAGATCTTGATTTGAACATCTATCAGAAAAGACATACAAGTACAGAACTTCCATATCCTGGGTCCTTTAACATAGTTTTTAAGTATACCTCCATGAAAAAGTATATCTCCACGTTTTTTTTCCTGTGGTATTTTTTGTAACTCAAGGATTTGGTTTCTTTCTTCTTCTTAGAACATCATCAAACGTAAACTAATATCTGACTCCAGCTCAGATGATTCCTAAAACTGTACTGTATTAGTATGTCACATCATAGAATTGTCCCCTACATGATACTCTATTGCTAAGGTACCTTTTCACATACAGCAGAAACAGAGCACTGAGAAGACCTGAAACAGAAGGGATTTAATGGGAGAAAATACAGCAGAGTCATTTTACAGAAAATTGCAGGTTTTTAAAGGTGACTGCCAGAGAATTTTTTAAATGCTGTTTGTAACCTGTTTGTGTTTCCTTACAATGTGCAAAGAAACCTTGAAACGTGTTGTTTTTCTCAAAGCCAGTAACAATTTCAGAAAGGAAGCGTCTTCAAGGAGTATATTTCATTCCTGCTATGGAAAATGTAACAGCTGTGAGAAATGCAGCTCCGAAGCCTTATTTGTGCCAGCACTTTGTACTTCCAGCTCACCCATCAGTTTAACCACAACCATTCAAGTATCAGTGTATGTTTGTTCAGAGAGAGAGGCCCTTGTAGTTGTGTGTGCTGTTGTTTCACAGCATGAATAAGAATGAAGAAAAATAATGGCTTCACTAAGCATCTGCCTGTTTTTCATAGAACTTGACTTTGGGAAATGAATTCATATCTAAGTCTGTATTTGCATATTCTGTTAGAAACCAGGAGAAAACTGAAGTTTGGGGCTGGCAGGAGGCATGAAGGTAATTTTAAAAGCCAGTTTTGGGCTGAGAGAAGTGGTGATGGAAGAGGGCAAAGCAACATTTAGTACCCGTCTGAGCCATGCTGTTGCACATATGCAATGCTCACATCAACCTGCTTCCTAGGAGTCATGGACTACTGCTGTAGGCTTCTTGACAGGACCTTTGCTAGTGATTGAGTTCACATTCCATCAGAGAAGTGCCATGCATTTTCTTCAGTAGTGCTGCTCCCAGTCACGAATCAAATTCCCTGAAGAATTACCTCCAAATTAACCTCTCCATCACCTCTTCTTTCTTTTGAAAGTCTTCACTGAGGGGGAATTTCTTCACACAGCTAAAACATTGGAGATTTGTTATTGTTTGGAGTTTATTTTATTGTGAGATTACTGTAATCTTCTGATCCAAGATGCAACAAATATCACAAATATGGTCTTCTCTGCTCCCTGGGGCACCTATCCAAAACAATTTTGTTTCTGGAGAGAAAACAAGAAATATGGAACAGACACACTGCTTTATATTCTTTTGTACTAAAGCTAAGGTTTGGCAGTTCAAACACAGAAGCTGCAGGCTTTGATCTCTATTATATCAGTTTTACACTGGTATAAAATTGATACAGTAAAGAAGCAGGCCCAGTATATATTAGATATGCCAGACCAGTGCCAGCAGTTTCGAGAATGTTTTAGCTATTACTGATGAAAGAAGTTCTGGGGAATCCCTGTAGGTTTGAAGTTAAATGCCAACTATTTCATATTGAAGATTATGATAATGTGACAGATTAATGTCAGAGCTTATACTTTAAATCTTTGCATAGTAGGACAAGGTTGTTTTTAAAACTTCATTGGTCATTGGGGGGCTGTACAGCACCACAGTGAGATTGCCTTCATCCACACAGTATCTCCACATCCCAACTCACCCTGCTTCTGAAAGCTGAGCAAACCTCACGTATCTCTTGTCATAATATCATATGTATGCACCCATGATGTACACATGGCACTCTTCTGGGTCTATGCTGTCTCTTCTTTGGAATAAATGACCTTGGTCCAGCTCTGTGATACCAATACCTAGATGTCATTCTCTGTGATAGCCCTCAGCTTCACAAACCCCTGTATCCCAGGCTTAGCTAGTGCCCAGTGTTTCTGTGTATGGTATCCTGTACCAGCTAGGGATGGGGGCTTGAAAAAAGCCACACCACTAGCCATCCGGGTACAGTGAGCTCTCACAACTCTGAATGAGAGTTTTGTGTTAAGCTATTTGAACTATCCTTGCAGAAACAGTTTGGTGTTTGCTGTCCTCCCGCTAGAGGACTCTGTTTGCATAAACAAAGCTGACACAATTGTTTCAGTTGTGATGGACAACAAAACAATGTACAGTGGATGAGTGATTCTGAACTTATCCACTAAGCAACAGCATCAGGATCATTAGATGCTGGTACCTGAATGGTATCCTTTTGCCCAGCTCTGCACCGCTCTGCCTCGTCTTTCCTCCTGTCCTCAAGGCTTGCTAGGGATATTCCAGTGTCTGTCTGTCTGTGGCTCTAAGGTTACCTTCTCCTTCTCCTTCCTCAGTGAGGCTATGGGGAGAATTGCATTGGGGTAATGTCTCCCGTACTCAAAAGAATGAAATCCTATGATGATTCATAAAATAAATGCAATGAAAGATTCAAAATTACCATGAACCATCAGTTACAGGTGCCTTAATAATATTTTGAGTAAGAAAATGTTTCAGCCTTGTAGCCATGTGGTTCTTGGCTCCTGAAGACCCAGCACCACACACTACTGGCTTCATGGTCAAATGTTGTGCTGGGTTTTCTTTGCAAGAATAATCGCACAAGGACTTGTAATTGGACCACAGCTGATTTTCTAACAAATAATCAACCGTTACTAAGAAATTTCAGTTGTTAAAATCCAACATGGATTTGTCCTGGATTTTTGGTGCCTGGGATGTTTTTCAGCTGAGATGACTGGTTTCTGAATCATGGGAAAAGCTACAGGGTTTTGATTTGTTATATGCAATGCATCCTGTTCTCTCTCCATTTCTGATGCATCTAAGGATGTCACATCTTTTCATCAGTCATATATACTTTTGGTTTTCAAGCATTTTGTGCCAAATGTCATCTGCCAGATTTTATAATCCTCTTATACTTCCTGTAACTTTCCTCAGAGTGAACATTTCAAAAGAAAGAAGTTCTGTCAACATTTACATGAGAGATTAGAGTAGGGAAATTATATCTCTCTGTATTTCTCCCTAGGGTAGATTAGTGCTAAAGAGATAAACCAAACATTTTTTTGGCGAATGATTCTGACTTTCTGAGTAGAAGTTTTACCAAAGTTCTTGCCTTTTATTAGATATAAGTGGATCTGAATTTTAAGATGATTAACATGCTGTTAATCCACCTGAAAGCATCCTCCTAACATGGTGTTTAAAATAGAAAGCTGTGTTGCTAATTTTGTGTTGCAAAACATTTTCGTTTTCAAACCAGATAAAATTCAGTTTTGTGGTTTGATTGATTTGAAGGGAGATCACTTAAAAATGTTTTGCTTGTTTAACATCTTTACCAAGATGAGCCTGCAAGATGTCCCATAGAAGAGACACATTATTGCCCTGTTAAATGAACTGAAGTCTTCTAAAGCATACAATGGCAGGTGGCCTTTTTTAAAACGTGTTTTTTTCCTCGTATCATTTATTGTTGGTACTTTTCTACACAAGCAAGAGAGAACAGTGCATTTAGGAAGCTCTTTTTACAATTTCTTGTAAAGTTAGGTGGGATCTGCAAGGATATATTTCTTGTTGGTTATAAGGGGTGTGCCCTATAATTTTTAATGCTGGATATGTAAAGTCACTTTTATATATCAGATTAAGACATGGCAACTTTAGTCAACGGTTTAGCGTAGGTCAGCAACTTTTTCTATACTCAACTAGTGCAATGCTATTAGCACTGCTAATACTCCACCATGTATGATGAGGATGTGACAAATAGCAGCTGCACACTGTGCT